ACCCCAGGTACTGCAACGAGTGCCGGGACCTGGACCTGTGCCGCGACCCCGAGCTCCAGGCCGGCGAGCGGTGGCGCTGTGCCGGCTGCGGCCAGCCGTACGACATGGCGGCGGTGGAGGCGCGGCTGGCGCGGCTGCTGGGGGCGCGCGTGAAGGAGTATGGGCTGCAGGACCTGCAGTGCCACAAGTGCAAGCAGGTGGGGGCCGGGGCGTTTTTGGGTGGGTCGGGTGGGGGCGGGAGCGCTGTTCCGAGGGGCTCCTGCAGCTGTGTTGGTGATCGGTCGTTCAGGGTTTGCGGCAACGCCGGGGCAGGGCGGCTGGGGATGCTGTGGGCCTCGTCGGCGAATTTGGCCGGCGTCCGATGCGGCTGGGGTCGGGGCCGCCTCAGGTTAGGGCCGTTCGGGCTCGGGCTCGGCCTCAACAGGGTGTGCGCCTGGGCGCCTCGGCCGCCTGGCCTGCGTTCGGGGCCGCGCCGCTTTGTTCGCGTGGTGTCTCTTTGTGTTTCTCTTCTCAGGCTGCAACTCGGTTGGGACCCTCCCTTTCTCCCCACCCATCCCCCTCCAGATCGCGACGGACCACCTCGGCGGCGGCTGCAAGCAGTGCGGCGGCTACCTGACCAACACCATCCGCCCCGACGCCGCGCGCAAGCGGCTGGCGGTCTTCCGCAACCTGGCGGCCTACCACGGCTTCGAGCTGCTGCAGCAGATGGCCGACTTTGCGCTCGGCCGCACCTGACCGTTGCGCGCGCGCGGCCTGGGGGGCGTCCGCGCCGAGGGTGCAGGGCTTTGGTTGCGCTGTTGCGCCCTGCGGCGGCGAGTGCTTTTGGTTTCTGGAGAATTGTTTTCGCAGGCCTGGTTGAGTGATAATATGGGGCTGGCTAGGAGGAGTGAGTGTTGGTTGTATCCTGGGGCTGTGATTCACATTTGATGTAACAATTCACGATCTGCATCTCGCTGCAACGCGATGGCAGGTGACCTAGCTCCCCATTCCTGTTGGTAAAACAACTTCGAAGCACGCTTCATTCTAGAGCGTGGTCTTGCAATGCTGGCAAAGCAGGGGGGGTGGAAACACACTCACGAGATGGCATGCAGGGCCGTGCAAATGTGCACGGACATGTGGCTCACCTGTGGTGATGTCTGCGAGCTGCAGCGGTTGGGGTCACACGCAGCAGCGTGCACGGAGGCGTGCAGCTACACAGCCGGCGCGGCGGCTGCTGCTGTGGCGCCATGCGGCACGGCCAGCAATGTGCAACGCCCGAGGCCGCGGGGGGCGTAGGAGGCTGTACAGTCGGCAGGGTGGGGAGCCCGCCGAATGCGGCTCAACCTGGATGGCCGCCAGTCCTCAGGGCGTACCGCAGTTTCCATGTCATGTGAACAGGGAATCGCATGCCCACAACATGCCGCCAGACGAGCATGCTTCACGCCGTTGCCAGCAACAGCAGCTCGGCAGCTCTGCACGAGGTCTGAGGAGCGCCTGTTGCTGAGTCTGCCCCTGCTGAGGCCCGGCTCGATGTTGGTTGTGTCGGATCCACAATCGCTGGCCCTGGCGCAGCAGTCCTGGACCACCAATCATCAAGCTCCTGCGCACCTGCACAGCAACCGTGTGCGCCTGGCGCAAGCGAGCATCATTGCAGCATTCTGCGCTGCAAGGGGCGGAAGCAGCGCCCCAGGGGCTCATGAGTTGGATGGCCGGCCTCAGCATGCAACGGACATCAGCAATGTCAAACGCTACCCTTGACACATCATCGTAGCTGCTCCGCAGGATTGCATCCTGTCCCCTTCAGCTCCCTAGCCAACAGGGATGGCTGGTAGATGACCTCACCTGCACCTGCCAAGCAGCTGCTTGCGCCTTGCATGACTCAGCGAGGTGCCGCTGGCCGCTGCCATGTAGCAGGTCCGCCCTGTGAATGGGCACAGTGTGCTGATGATACCGGTTACTTCCTTGACACCTTACCTTCTAGTGAGAGCTGATCTTCCCGCGCCTTCAATCCGCGGTCGCGGCCCGGACACTGCAATCATACGGTACCAGTCGACTAGCAAAGCAGAACGCTAAAACCTTCCCCGGAATCATGCAGTGATCAACGCAGCCCCGGTGCACCTGGCCACGCAATCCTGGGTGTGCAGGGTGCAATGGCGCCCGCTGCCCCGATTCCCGGCGCCGCAGTGCCTGCGGCAAAATCGACAGCAGCAGTTTCGTCAGCAGCACTCCCATCCGTGGAACAGGCCACCCATACCCTGGTAACCCTGCTCAAGAAGTCCAAGGGACGCAGCGCAGCAAACACGCTCGACCTCGCCGAGGACGCGCTGGCTGCGCTGGCCGATGCCTGCGCCGCAGGCACCAGCACGGCGCTGCCTGGCGCGCTGCTGCAGGACCTTGTGGGCTGCATGCGGACGACAGACTCGGGGGCGCTGCAGGCGGTGTTCCAGTCGGTCGCCATCCTGTCGCAAGGTGGTGGTGGTGGTGG